TGTGTGATTTCAACCGTGACTCACAGAGCCCCGATCCCCTGGCAATGGGCCACGAACCCATTTCACATATCATTTACTCAGGCGGAGATGGCCCAGCAGACTACGACTCAGATATGGATTGGGGAATTGCACGACGTCGCCAACAGCGTGGACCACCAATCTCATACGATCATTTCTTTCGCACTGGGGATGAAGATGAAGACGACGACGATCAAAGCCGCGATGATACCAGTAGCGTGCACACTGAAGACTCGGAGTCTAGTGATGAAGATGACAATGCTCCTCCAACCAAACGCCGCCACCTGAGGAGAGGTGTACAGAAGAAGAGCCGAAAGCAACGTACTCGCGAATGGTCTAAAGAATCTTCTGCCTCCGGCACAGGAAAACGAACGTCATCTCGCCTGCGACAGACCCGTCGACGCAACATGAAAGAGAAACTTGAAGATGACGAATATTCCGAGCGCGAAGTTGAACAGCCCAAGCAACAAAAGTTCTCTGGTGCGAGGGAGCAGTTCCGTGAACTACCACCTGACAATGATTTCAGACTGTTCCACTCCCAGTCATGTGCTCAATGCGGCCATGAAGATCATGACCCCGAAAAAGGATCGTTGGTATTCTGTCAAGGTTGTACAGTGTCGTACCATCAAGGTTGTCTTGGCGATCGAAGCAGCAGAAAGCATTTGGTCACCAAGGTTGCCGAAAGGGATTTTATTCTTCAATGCAGCCAGTGTTTGGGGATTAAGCACCAAGAGCATGATATGAAGCCTCACTTGGGCCACTGTGCTGTGTGCAGAGACGCAGGTCCCATGTCGCAACCTTTGCGAGAGACTCTTTCTTCCCAGGCCGAGCAACAATTGCGGGAAGCCAATGATGGCATAGATCCGATAACCCACGTGGAGATGTCCCGTGTCAACAATATTGACAATGTCCTCCTCAGGTGCCTTGGTGGTAGTCATGCCTGCAAGCGAGCCTTCCATATTCATCATCTTCCAGAGAAAGATTGTGTCGACATCGATCTTGTTTCCTGGCAATGCAAGGATTGCTCTAAGTGTCCTCCTGGCGCCAACCCGATCCATGTGATCGTTGCTTGGAGACCAAAGAATTCCGAAGTCAAAGTCGTTCCGCAGTTGGTCGAAATGCTCCCAGAGATCGACAAAGAATACCTCATCAAGTGGAACAACATGTCCTATTTCCGTGTGACCTGGTTGACTGGAGACTGGGTCTGGTCCAAGGCTCCCGCCAGTCAGATGAAGGCGTTCCTCAGGTCAGACAGATCCACAAAACCGATCATGACAACAGCCGAAGCTGTCCCCGAAGACAACCTGCAAGTGGACATCATCTTTGATGTGGAATATTACAACGACCCCAAATCTCAGGATGATCGAGCAAACGGTGATCTGGTTAAGCGGGCATATGTCAAATACAAAGGGTTGCCCTACGAAGATTCAGTCTGGGAAGATCCCCCAAGTCAGACCAACACAGCTCGCTGGGAGGATTTCCAGGTTGCGCTTATTGACAGGGTGCTCCGGGAGAATATCCACCCCTCAAGGGTGAACGATCTCCAGACCCGTCTCAGCCATACCCGCAGAAAGAAGTTCGACGAGAGCCTTATGCTGACCGCTCAGCCTGCCTTTGTAACCGGGGGCGAGCTCATGGAGTATCAAATGGATGGTGTGAACTGGTTGCTTTACATGTTTTTCCAGCAAAAGAACGCCATTCTTGCTGACGATATGGGCCTCGGAAAGACAATTCAGGTCATCACCATGTTCTCGGCGTTGATCGAAAAGCTGGATTGTTTCCCTTTCTTGGTTGTTGTTCCGAATGCAACTGTGCCAAACTGGCGCCGAGAGATCAAGAGCTGGTCGCCAGACGTCCGGGTTGTCACCTATTATGGCAGTTCCTTGGCTCGCGAGATGACCAGAAAGTACGAGATGTTCCACGAGAATGGTACTCTATGTTGTCATGTAGTCATCGCTTCGTACGAAAGCATGGCTGATGATGGGGCTAAGCGAGTCTTGTCTAGTGTCAACTGGGCCGGCTTGGTAGTTGATGAAGGTCAACGCCTCAAGAATGACAAGACACAGCTCTATGAGCGTCTTCGTCGCATGAAATTCGGTTTCAAGTTGTTGCTTACTGGTACACCACTTCAAAACAATATTAGAGAACTGTTCAACCTGGTCCAATTCATCGACCCAACTTACAATGCTGAGAAATTGGAGGCCCAATACGGAGGATACCTCGACAATGAACAAATTAGCGAGCTCCATGACATGATTCGGCCATGTCTCCTGCGTCGAACGAAGGCAGAGGTTTTGCCATTCCTCCCCCCGATGGTGCAAATCATCATCCCAATCTCAATGTCCGTTGTGCAGAAGAAGCTGTACAAATCGATTCTTCAAAAGAACCCGCAGCTCATCAGATCCATTTGCAAAAAGCAAACTGGGCAGTTCAAGAAAGTGGAGCGGCATAACCTGAACAATATCCTGATGCAACTGCGGAAGTGTCTTTGTCACCCGTTCATTTACAACCGCGACATTGAAGAGCAAACTCTCGACCCCGAACTTTCTCGTCAGCGTTTGGTCGAAGCATCGGGGAAGTTCCAGTTGCTGAACCTGATGCTACCGCGACTTCGGGAGCGTGGACACCGAGTCCTCATCTTTAGTCAATTTTTAGAGAACCTGACCATTGTTGAAGACTTCCTCACCGGGCTGGGACTCCAGTACTGTCGTCTGGATGGCAAGTTGTCCTCAAGAGAGAAACAGCAACAAATCGATCAGTTCAACGCGCCCGGTTCTCCGTTCTTTGCCTTCTTGCTTTCGACGCGGTCGGGTGGTGTTGGAATCAATCTTGCCACTGCCGATACAGTCATCATCATGGATCCTGATTTCAATCCAAAGCAGGACATGCAGGCTCTGTCGCGTGCCCATCGTATCGGGCAAAAGAATACAGTTCTTGTGTTCCACCTGGTAGTGCGTGCGTCAGTGGAAGAAAAGATCATGCAAAAGGGTAAAACCAAGATGGCGCTGGATCATGTACTTATCGATCGCATCGAGGCCGACCAGGATGGAGAAGACTTGGAGTCAATCCTCCAGCATGGTGCCCAGGCACTGTTCAATGATGATGACTCGGCGGACATCAAGTATGACAGCCAGTCGATTGACAACTTGTTGGACCGCAGCCAGGCCGAACAGGCCGATCAAATGGCCACCGAGGAAGCTTCCAACCAGAATGAGTCGGCGCAGTTCAATTTCGCCCGGGTGTGGCAAAAGGATCGCGATAGCCTCGAAGAAGTGACCGAAACTGAAGACACGCCTGTAGACCTGACGGTGTGGGAGCAGATTCTGCAGGAACGTGAACGTGAAGCACAAGAGGAGGCCAGCCGTCAAGCGGAAGGTCTTGGTCGCGGTAAAAGAAAGCGTGGTGCACCCCGTTACAATACCACCATTGAAGGAGTCGACGACGATGAGAATCCTAGTCCCTTTCGACAGCCGCATACCAAGACGCGAAAGCGTACCGACGATAACGACTATGAGTTCCGACAGCCAGAGGACGATGGCGAGGAAAGTGAATCCAACGCCGACGCCGTAGCTGAGCCAATGGACATTGCAGATGATGGCGACACGACTCTGTCCGATCCCCGGGTTGATCCAAATGAAGCACCCACTCCTCTTGTTCTTGCACGTATCGCGGAGGCAGAGCAGCGAGGTAAGAACTTCTTCATTTTCCATTCACATTCTAATTACTACTTGTTCTATCTGATTACAACCCCCACCCCCTCACTCCTTATTACAGGCATAAAGAGACAGTTTGCTAACATACATGATTCCACAGCTGCGCGCGCATTCCGCCGCGTTGATTCGCCGCCCCCACCACCACCAATGGGCACCTTCGACGGCGCCCAAGATGATATTATATCTTGTGTGGCGTGCCAACACCGCCACGTCGCGGGGCGTTGCCCGCTCCGTCACGCCGGTGTCGAGTTCTGCGGCCTGTGTGGCCTGGCGCACTGGGGGGGCCACCGGGTCTGCCCCCACCTGCAGTCCAGGCTGCAGGTCAGCCGCATGCTCGAGGCTCTGGAGAAGAGCGTGGAGGCCCCCGCCCTCATCATGGGGGCGAAGAGATACCTGCAGGGTATCTTGAAGTCGGTTGCGCGCAGTGAACGCAACCGCAAGAAGAACTCTCTCGCGGCTCCGGTGGAGCCTCGGATTTCCCTCACCTCGCCCTCACTGGGCGGGGTGAGCGCCGCCTCTGTCAACTCAATGACAGAGGCGGATGCTGAGTCGTAAGACTCAACTCAAGTCTTTCTTCCTGCCACCCCAGCGGGCGGGTGCCCCCGCTGGGGTGACATCTGATCACTAAGTGATCACGGTGTGAGAGGAGCTTCAGCTCCTCTCTTCATGCTTCTTGCAGTTTGTTTGTTTTTTGTTTGTACAAAGTCGCATTGGGAGGAGTTCGGTTTCTTTTTTGAAAAAAAAAAAAGGAAGGGGGGGGCGTTCTGGGCATTGGGAGCGAAAGATACCCAGCTTGTTTTGTTAGATTCAATTGATCAGTATGATTACAGTGTTCTTTGATATGCGATGGCAAGTAACCAGCATAGATATTCGGTCTTGTTATCCATGTCTGTTTGTTTCTATCGACTTTTCAGCAAACAGTTTAGTATACAGTATTCATGCAGGTAGTACATGACCAGAAAGCAATCCAAATCAGGCAAACATCTTTGAAGCTGCTACACAATATTCCAGCAAAACCTCACTATGCAATCCAAGAGATTGTTAGTGACATGACTAGTAACAAACCAATATTTAAAGAAACAAAGACGGGCATACGGACATCTTTCTTCATCACTCCCTCCACACCTCTCCATTCCCCCCATCATTCAAGCAATTTCATCAAACCAGGTTCACAACATAGATCTCCCTAACGAACGTCATCAGCGTAGGCACCGCCTAAAGCAGGAGCGCACAGAGATGAAGCAAGACCCCACTTCTACTTCACATGTGATGGCCAAAACCACACAGGAGTTTGAGCAGCCTAGCATCCCAGGAAACATCCTTCATCAAGTTAGAGACGCCCCGGTCAAAAAGCCAGATGATCATAAACAAGGTCGGTCTGCGAAACTACGAAAAAGCTATTGCCCCTATGATGAATAGATTAACAGCTATATCAATAATGTAGCGAAAGAGTCGTTGATCAAGGTCGAGAAGCATGACCCTGATTTGATACCTGGTCTTCAAGACAAGAAGGCAGCTATTAGTGACGATCAGAAACCATCCTCCGAGGATATTGATATACACTTGAAACCCAAAATTGATCCAACTAAACCATCGATCACGGTTGAGAATGGTGGCTCTGATTTGATACATGGTCTTCAAGATCAAAAGGCAGCCACTGAACTCAACCAGAAACCATCCTCCAAAGATATTGAGATGCCGTTGGCCCCTGGTATTGACCTAGTAGAGCCGCCAACCAAGGTTGAAAAGGCTGGTCCTGATTTGGCAGTTAGCATTAGTGAACGGAAGGTCATTACTAGTATTAAACAAGACCCATCTTGCGAGGACACTAAGATGCCCCTGGCGTACCAGAATCTATCCGGGGAATTTGCACAGTTGGACCGGGAGAAGGCAGATAGAGTCAAGTTGAGCCAACGAGAATATCGACAGAAAAACGCAGAGACACGACGAGAATACTACCGAAACAACGCAGACAGTATAAGGGTGAGCCAACGAGGATATCGAAAGAAGAACGCAGACCGAATGAAGGCAAGAGATCGAAAATACCGGCAGAAGAACGCAGAGAAGATCAAGTCGAGAAGACAAGAACGGAAGCGTGAGATAAAAGAAAGTCTGCCAGTACCAAAATAAGATGCCGAGGCTCAGCTAGAGGAACTCAAGCAAGAAAGCTAGGTCGAGCAAGAGAGCCAGGTCAAACAAGAGAGCTGGGTCAAGCAAGAGGCCTAGCTGTCGAGTTCCTGAGATGAGCAGTAGGGGTGGAACATACCATGGGCCAAGGTCGCCAGAATAGCCTTGGCAGAATTGCAGCTGATGAAAATTGTCATTTGTTTTTTGCTTCTATGGAAGGTTTATCTGGTTTCAATTTTATGCTGGATTTGGTGGATTTACTAGTTGCAAAGGTGTTCCAACTTTGGAAGGCGAGGCTGTTGGCTTGGACGGTCGAGTTAGGTCAAGCCAAGTCACGGGATTTTGACCTAAGCCGCATGTGATCCCCTAAGGCTTGCAGGGCTTACGTGATTAATGCCTAAGGCAGAGAGGCACTTGCCAAGTATGTGCCGGGGATTCGCTAGGACGTGGATTATGTAATTTTAGTCTACTTGACCGCACTTAGATATAACCAATGACAACCATGCGATTCTCTTAGTATCTCACGCAATTGTCAACGACATCCGACACAACAGGAAAGCGGAAGAGCACCGAAGGATATTTGTTATGTTGTTATGTTGTTTTGCTTTTTATGCATTTCTTTGCTTGATTTGTATTTTATGGCTCTAAATATCTTTACCTGTTTGGGTTATTTACAAAATGAGTGGATTGTGGTGGCAGCCGCCTGAAAGCACTTTGTCCTCTTTTCAAGCAAGTAATCCAAGTTTTCCTTGATGTAAGAGAGCAATGACTACATAAGTCTCCCATGATATTTCAAACAAGTTAGCCCTAGAGGTGATATAGTTGAATAAGGAGTCTAAAATATTGTTGGAATGAGTCGCACGGGGTCGAATCTTGGAAGAGGTATCCCTAGGAGAAAATATTAACTTACTTAGACATTGACAACTAGGAGACAATATTATTATGTCATTCTCTCAGAGTATGCAAGACTTTGGTATGTGTGTATCAGTGTATTCTCCTTGTCGCAATCTCTATCGGACAGAATACAGAGGACAATGACTATCTAGAAGCCTTAAACAACATGCATAGCATTGGTATCTGATATAATCGGATTTGAAGACATGGAAGATGGAGAAGCAGCATGGAAGGTCAAATTTAGAATCGGACTAGGTATGTTCTACAGGCAGCCGCTCAACCCTGCCAAGGCACATGTTCACGGTGTCTTTACAAGCTACAAGGGTCCCCGAATGATACACATCTTATTCCTGTCTTTCAGTATTTCATTCCTACGCCATTTGAGAATTTTCTGCTCTTTAATATACAGAGAAACAATGTCTCCATATCACCTTCGTGCAACGCTGTACCTTCATTGCCCGATCTGCTAAACTAGGTTGTCTTTGTCCCGGGGAACTTATTGTGAGATTCAAGACAGATGGACTCCCATTGTGTAGCCAAGTGTACGCAGGATAGTCTAATTCATTGTGTGGATTTAGCTCATATATCTCTTTGATATGTAGATAATTAGCATAGTCAAGCTTCATACCCAGTTGATCCTTTCTAATATATGAGATTGTGTTTCCCAAGACTTCAGTTTATGGTCACATTTTCTCTTCCTCCCAATTCGATTGTCGTTTGTCTCCAGGGCTGTCACCTGTCACATGCCTTCCTCTTCTGTTGCTTGTCACCTTGTCACCTATCCCATAACCCTCTTCTCCCACAAGCGTCTTCTTTCCCTCTCCCCCTCCCACCCACAACCTTTCTTCATCACACAGAGCATTCTTATTGCACAATCCTATCTTCATTATCTCATTTTTACCTTTACTGAGATATACCTTTTGTCGATATGGCGACTGCTGGTCGCCCTGGATTCTTTTGTACCCGCCCTGATGGGACCCTCACCCCACTGGTAGCCATCGATGAGTTGCCCACCAACGTCACCATCCGTGGTGTCTCTCGCACCCTCAATGCTGGAGAGACTCAGGGTATGACCAGCTGTGGCCTGGCTACCCAACGTTCTGAGCCTTGGTGTGTTGATGGGGTCACCCAATCCTCTGAAGGTGAGGCTGGGAAGTGGCCTCATCGTGATATGCACAGCCTTTTGCTGCAAATTATCACCAATAACAACGTTCCTGATCCCATGCGGGTTTCTGCTCAGGCTATCCTGTTTCAGGGAATTGACCGCCACGGCCTTACCGGCGATGGCACTCCTGCCGGTGGACTGTCCCCAATTGCGCCAACCTTCTATGCCAAGAACCCTCAGATGGGCAATAAGCATGTATGGCTGAGTGCTCCTAGCGTATTATGGCTCATGATATTAACTCTTTCCACACAGGCCTCAAGCACCAAGAAGGAGTATTGTTCGTATTGGATCCGTCACGGTGAATGCGACTACTTGCAGCAAGGTAAGCCAACTGGATGCCCGAGACCCTATGAGGTCTTGCTGACACTGTGTCACATAGGATGCCTTTACAAGCATGAAATGCCCGTCGACTTGAGCATGATTGAAAAACTTGGCCTGCGCGACATTCCCCGCTGGTACCGCGAGAAGTACAACGTTGCGAGTCTTTTGCATCCAAGCCAGGCGCGCCCTCAGCTCACAATTGCTGATCAGCCACCCATGCGCGCCCTGCCATCGCCTGACTCAATCACCGAGAGCTGCGCTAGCAAGGTCTCTACCATCAATGCGAACCCAAAGGTTAACAAGTCTCTATCTCAGTTCAACAAATCTCCTCCCCGTGGACCAGCCAACCGTGGAAACCTCAGCGGTTTTGGCAATCACCACCAGCATCGTGGCGGCCGCCATGGCAACAACTGGAAAGGCACCCACCGCGGTGGCCGTAACCGCAACACGGGCTATGTTCGTCCAAGCATCAGCGGCGAGCATGATGGTGAGCGCAGCGGCGAGTGTTCCCCCGGCATGGGATCTCCCCGACCCGCATTTGATTATGAAGCTCATGGATTTGGTGGTAACAAAGTTTGCACCCCAACCACCCCAGCCGCTGTTCTGGTCACTGTTCCGATGACTGCCTCGACTACCGGTCATATTGGCACTCCCATGGCTGCCCATCAATCTTTGTTGGATGACGGTAAATCCCGCAACCGGAATGCCTACTGGCCAGTCAATGAGCTGACCGAATGTAACGAAGGTGTCTTTGAAAATACTTCTACTTCGAACAAGCCGGTTGGGCCCCGTCACCATCAGCCTTTTCACCTTTACCCGCACAGCTCAGTCACTTCTTCCGATGGCGGTGCCATGCTCCCCGCCATGAGCTACGATTCGTCCTTCGGCGCATTCACTCAGGCTGAAATGTCTGCTCGCAAGCAGTCAGTTTCGAACAACTCTCAGAGCACCGTCCAGATCAGCTATGGACCTTCGTCTCCTCACCTTGGAGATCTTCATATCGCTGACAACATCCCTCTCAACTCGGCCGAAACTCGTGTCACTTGGGGCCCCATTGGAGGTCCCATTCTAAAGCGTACTTCACCGCCAACTGAGAACTTTGCGCAGTTGTTTGGACCTTACTCCAACACCCCCCACAGCAACTAGTTGGGTCGTTTCGAGACCTTTCACTCAGGCGTGTCTGGCCTGGAGTGGTATTCATGGATTCCCTACATGATACCACTCGCTGATCATTTCCATCTTTCTTTCGTGCATTTATGAGATCTGGTGCATCGACATGACTTCCTTTCGATGCCAACCTACCAGATAAATATGCCATATGATACCACATACTATACTCCAAGCACGAAAGATGGTCCAGACATGCAAGATGGCAATACATGGGTGAGAGATGGGAGGTAGTTGTTGATGGGATTTTTTTTTATTTCAAGGTGCTTTGTTTTTTTGTGCTTTTTGTGCTTTTTTTCGGTGTTTTGCTCGGGATTGGGATGTTGATATCGTTGATATGCGTTGACGATATGGAACAATATGTGCCCATATGGAGTTGTTATTTTCCTTTGTGATTTTCCTTTGTGATTTTTTTCGTTTCTAGAACTGCAGCAAGGGATTGTCTCATCTGTTATGGATAGGATGTCGTTGTTGGTTCGAGTACAGATCAGACGAAGTCAGCTGATGACTCCGGGGTCGCAGTCCACAAGTTGGTTCTGTGTACTACATCATTTGCTTGGCAGATATCACAAATAAATGCGTTGTTTATTTCCTAGTGCTTTCCAAATATTTAGTGGTATCTACGTACTTGTGAGCATTGAAATAAAGCTCCGTAGAAAATAGTATACTCGTAAGCCATAGGCACACTACGAGATGGAATGGAGTAACAGCGAGCCGCCAATGCATGGAATAAAATGACTATAGTACATTCGAAAGAAAAGATGCCAAAAATCCTAAAATATGCGCCCGCGCCTCGCAAATGTCTGACAACAGCTTCTCAAACACACCCAATATACAGTTGACGAACATCAATTACCGGCGAGCCACCTTTTTCCGCGCACCAACCTTGACAGCAACCCGTTCCCGCTCTTCGGTAGCCTTGGCCTGGAGAGCAGGGTTGAGTGAGGGCAGAGACTTGATAGCATCCGAGACAACCGTATTACCGTCCACAAGAGCAGCTCGCGTCTCCTCGGCAGATAGACGCTCCTTGCGCCGCGCGGCCAACTGACTCCGACGGGCCTCGGTCATGTTCCAGTGTTCGGGGAATTGAAGTCTGGTCTTGTACTTGTGGTGGCGGAGGTCGAGGGGAATATCGGCGAAGGAGTCACCTTCCTTGGCCTCCTTGATCATCGAGTTAACGACATCTGTCAGGTAGCGCTTGTTCTGGGCACGTGAGCCGAACTTATCGCTCGACATGCGGATGACATCGGTCTGCGGGTTGTATCGCACACCAGCCAGCTTGAGGAATGTTTGGCGCTGGGCTTCGGTGAGGTACTTGGGAGTCAGATCTTGGGATGCAAGCTCCACAACGACCTTGGGCTCGGCCGGGTGCTGTTCGCCCATGTAGGTAGTGTAGCGGAAGCGGAGGATGTGGGTAGGGGGAGGCAGGGTGAATGGTTGAGCGAGCTCTACAGTTCAACGTTAGTGGATGGGAAATGTAGTCTCGATGAGCAATTGATCTTACTGCTCAGCATTGGCATGTCCCATGCTGTGAGACGGGCATATTCTCTCATTTCACGGTGCAATTCCATCTCTGCGTGTGCCATGGACGTGATTTCGTCATCATTGATTTCCTCGTCTCCATCCTCGAGTATGTTGACCAACTCGTCAGGCTCGTCCTCGGCCCAGAAACCAGCCCTGCGAGGGCGAATTTCTTCGAATCGGAGATCCTCCTCCTTATCAATTTGCATCATGCTTCTCTCGAGTTCTTCGAATGCCGCGGCGCGCTTCTGGGGGTCGTTGAATTCGGCTACCATACGGGTGTTCTCTTCGTCGAATGCCGCGCGCTCCTCGGGAGACATCAGATCGTACATTGATCGCTGCTCCGTGGTCAGGAGATCGACTGAGTACTCGGGCATTGGGGGGAAATCTTCCGCTCTGAGTTCCTTTGGCGGAGGAGGAATCACGGGGTCATCCTGGACGCGATTCAGCGGCGAGGCGGAGAAGTACCGGGCAGAGGGGGCCATGAGGCCCCTCCGGACCATACGCCCAGCTGGGCGAGTCAATAACCGAGCTGCTGAAGCCATTGTTGAGGGTATAGCGTGGGTAGGGACAGGATCTCGACCACGATGTTTTCCGCTTCCACTTTTGCGAGGTTCACCGCCGTGCGCTATTCCAAATTCAGACTAGTTTGGCTCACCCACACGTGACACCATGGTATATGATGGCATCTGGATCTTTGGACTATTCCCTCATCTCGATAATGCATCTTTTTATAAAATCCTTATGTGAGGATGATAACTGATTGCGAGAGAAGCTTGCAAGGTTGATTCCCCTGCCCATCCACCTCAACAACGTCTCCACAATGAAGCTATGCTTTGTGACTGTCGGGGCCACGGCTTCCTTTCACAAACTACTTGAACAAGTACTTAGTTCACAATTTCTCGAGACTTTAGCCAAACGTCACTATACCCACCTCCTCATTCAGTATGGTAAAGATGGCCAGCAAATATTCCAAAACTTCATCGACAGTGACCAGCCCCACCACGGTATCACCCTCGGAGGATTCGACTTCCAGCCGAGCATCGATGCCCAAATGATGATGACCGTGGAAAGAGAGGCTCTTGGTCAGGAGCGCGGCTTGATAATCTGTCACGCCGGTATGATACCTCACTATTTCGCGTATCAACTATATGGAGCCTGATCCACTTACCATCTCACAGGAAGTGGGACTGTTCTTGCAGGACTTCGCCTAGGTGTGCCCTTGATTGTAGTTCCCAATCCAGACCTTGCCGATAATCACCAGCAAGAACTAGCGGATGAGCTCGAGGAAGGGAACTACGTGATTAGTAGTTCGGTCAAGTAAATAACCTATCCTCTGTCTACCCGGCCAGTCTGGCTAACTTCTGATCAGGGATGTGGGCGATGCAATTAGCAGAGCAGAGACTCAGAAAGCTGAGGTATTATCCATGAGATCTGGAAATACAGCTCTTGCAGAAAGTATGTCTGACGAGTTGAGCTTTTTGGACTAAAGGAACCCCCTCTGGTGACCTATGAAGACCGATTTCCGCCAATCGCTTTTGTTGACTGAACAATCGGCTTGGGAGATTCCTTTTATCACGAATTATGACATTGCATGAAATTTAAATGGGCAACGATCAAGCAATTGGTCCGAGTTTGGTCTGCTTGGTCTATTGAGTAGATGTAGAAGTCTCATCTGATAGACTATGAAGAGAACCAATTACTTCCTAAGCCTATCTGAACCACACCCAATTAGCTTCTAGCACAAATAATTGGCCTATGTTTCTTGTTATATCATGAACCAGTCAGAAACATTGTGATAATATAATAAACGTCAATTCGATGCAAGTCCCATTTACCAGGCGTGAACTAAAAGTGGCCCAAGCTCCTTGTTGACAATTCCCGATTTGCGGATTTGCGGCTTCGCGTCCACTCCTGAATCAGTGACACGAACATCCACGCCCAACCATCCAAACGTTATATGCACCTTCAATCCACTTCCGCTCCGTTGATCCTCCGAGTCGCCTATTCTAGGCCGAGAGGCCGTCTATACCCGCGCTTGTCCTAGCCCGACCTCACCTCCCATCCACACCACAGTCCCCGCAATGGCTGAGGCAACTCTTCACAACGTGCCAATTGTCATCGACAATGGCAGTGGCACAATCCGAGCAGGCTTCGCCGGAGAGGAGATTCCATCATGTTATTTCCCGTCGTTTGTCGGCCGTCCCAAGCACCCACGGGTGATGGCCGGTGGTCTCGAAGGGGACTCGTTCATCGGGTCCCGCGCACAAGAACTCCGCGGACTATTGAAGATCAGGTATCCACTGGAACACGGCATTGTCACGAATTGGGAAGACATGGAATCGATTTGGCACTACGTCTATGAAAATGAACTCAAGACACTCCCCGAAGAACACCCCGTCCTACTCACGGAGCCACCGCTGAACCCGCGCGCCAACCGTGATATCGCAGCCCAACTCATGTTCGAGGCTTTCAATGTGCCGGCCTTATACATGTCGATTCAGGCTGTGTTGTCGCTCTATGCGTCTGGTCGGACTACCGGTGTGGTCTTGGATTCCGGTGATGGTGTCTCCCATGCAGTGCCTGTCTTTGAGGGTTTCGCTATTCCTAACAGTATTCGGAGAATCGATGTTGCTGGTCGCGATGTTACGGAACAGATGCAGTTGCTGCTACGGAAGGCTGGACATGTGCTACACACTAGCGCTGAGAAGGAGGTGGTGCGGATGATCAAGGAGAAGGTCTGCTACGTATCGCTAGATCCGAAGCGGGAAGAGAAGGAGTGGATGAACAGCTACCACAAATCTGATGCTAAGGCAATGGACTACGTTCTTCCAGACGGTCACAAGATCAAGGTATGCACTGTCTTGAAATATCATTCGTCCTGGGATTGCAATAATGCTAATGAATCTACCTCTCAAGATCGGCCAAGAACGTTACCGTGCGCCTGAAATCCTCTTCGATCCCGAGCTCATCGGCCTCGAGTATCCCGGTGTGCACCAGATCGTGCAGGACGCCATCACTCGCACAGATCTTGACCTGCGAAAATCGCTATACCTCAATATTGTGCTTTCCGGAGGTTCCACACTGTGCAAGAACTTCCCTGATCGGTTGATGCGTGAGATCAAAAAACTAGCAGTCGAGGACATGAAGATCCGCATTTCTGCGCCTGCTGAGCGCAAATACACCACGTGGATTGGTGGTAGCATTCTTGCCGGGCTGAGCACGTTTAGAAAGGTATGCAAATTTCTCCGTTGTGCCAATGAATCACATGTAACTAACACTCTCTAGATGTGGGTAAGCGCAGACGAATGGCACGAGGATCCCGAGGTGATCCACAAGCGATTCGCATAAAGGACTCGCCTATGACGAAAGTCTTTGATATCATGGTGTCCTTCTAGCGAGCCACTCTGGGACTGATCACCTCCTCTGTCTCCCAAGATCCCCAAGACACCATCTCCAATCCCTAGAAAACACAAGAAACAGATCTTGTCAATCTGGATCGATCATCACGCAATTGGCGCATACCAAGTGATCGACCAACACAAATCCGAGTCGCATCCCCGACTCTTGATACCCCATTCCTATCCAGCTCATCTTAGCATTGGCTTTGACTTTATTGCAAATACAGTCTCTTTTGCGTCTTGGGGATTGTTCTAGTCTGGACATAATTTTACTCGGACATATTAGCCTGCATACTATATTTTCCATGCGTAACTTGACTACTCCAATAGACGGCTATATGCAATCTACTTGGATGTATAGTAATAATATTCGCTATTCTGCATTCTACCACTGGCGGGGCAATAATTATGAAAAGATGTTTGCTTATTCAAATTCGCCTCCCATTATGACTCGGCTAGTCATGGGTACCCAAACGCAGATGGCTAGGCTTCATCTGGTACGGGAGGCAATTTCTTTTTTTAAAACGAAATCCTATTTCTGGTAACGCTTTAATATAGATACAAAGCAAAGAGAATAAATCCATGGATATAGGTATGTAGGGACTATCAAATGGCGGTGGACCAAAATCCTCAAAGAATACATATATAGAATAGCAATCCAGATCAAGAACATCCATGGACGAGCCAAGACAAACAGGAAAATTACAACCAAGACAATAGAATCCAGACCATAGACAAAGAATAAACAAGTTTACCAACAGGCTTACAGCCATGGCCATCCCAACAAAATATCCTTGTAAGCGGCTATCCGCGGCTACAACGCTACAACTCGATGCGACATGCCCAAGTCTAGATTCGACATGGGTTCCACCCCCAAGCACGTCTTATACGGAATTTACGTCTACAATGATACAATGAGAAATATTTTAGAATGTAGTCCAGCCCGGGAAGACCCAAGCATGCAATTCATTATCTACTAGGAAGAACCTAGTAGATCTGGCGCAATATAGGGGGAATATGTTGAAAGACAGAAGAAACACAGTGGGACACATTGTAAAAAAAAAAAAAAAGGAAACAGGAAAACAAGAAACAGGACTCCGAGAATGATGCCAGACAATTGTTGTTCAATGGCGTGATCTTGGGTATGTTGAAACTAGAACCCTGGTTTCCAGAACCTGGCGGCGTGTTGATGTAGAGTGGTTTGGCTCGTGGCACAAATAACCACAAAGAACATGATGAAACAACGATCCATGTTTGAGTGAAGATGTCTCAATGAAAGAGGGTCCTTGGGAAGGTATGAATGATGAATTCGGGGTATTTCGCAGACAGAAAGAAACATGGGTAGTAAGAGGGTCTGGGAAGACGATCAACGTGTATTGTCCTCGATGTTCCGATCTGGACGCGGTAGATTTCCCATATTAAAAAAAAAGGTCAAGAGAAAGGCGAGAGAGAAAAAAAACTTTTTTGGTCGTTATGTCGTTGATGTTGATGTTGTCAGGGACAAGATGTGTTGTTGAAGAAGGGATGTGCATCTAGGCAGTTCCCTTGAGCTTTCCCCAACCTTTCTCGAGACCACGACGTGCCATATCACGGGCCCGATCCGCCACGGATCCAGAGCTGGAATTCGTCGCCGTACTGGCAGCAGAGAATTTGCGACTCAGGCTGGAACTGCTGCAGTCGTCACGGTACATGGTGTTGCCGGCACCACCACGTCCGACGTGGTAGACGGGGGCAGCCTGGCGGAGATCACGTTCGAGTTCTTCGTCGAAGCTGAAGATGGCACGTTCGGTGCTGCTGTGGACGTTGCCTGCACCGCCACGGCCGGAGATGAAGGTTGTCTGGGTGCGGGAGTCGAGACGGGCGAGAGAGGCAGGACCGGTTGCGCTGCGCGAGTCGGTGGTCTTGGTATTCTTCAAGTTGACGATATTTCCGCATCCTCCTCGGCCAGTGTAGACGGCTGGACGACCGGCATGTGGGACTGAAGGGTGCGGCTCGACGACGCGGTAATTTGAAGGCATGTTTATGTGTTGATCTGAAGTATAGAGGTATAAACAGTCTAAGCTGTGACTATAAAAACTCCATCCAGTGCAGAATTTGCGTTATGGATCTCTAAACAGCGGGGGCATTTCATATTATATAGTCCCTGGGACCTTTTTGGAGTCATTTCCAGATCCAGGCACGACATCCAGTCACAAGGTGCTGTGGGGAATTCTCTTTGGGATTTTTTCATTTTTCATTTTTGAATTTTCATTTTTATGTTTTTCCTTTTTCCCCCCCATCGTCATCGGAGTGTAATGGCCATGGCTATTTCTGTTTTCAGTGCTCAGTCAGCCCCTGCATGTGGCCTTAAAACGCCCCTGTGACTTGCTGGAGGATGATGATTGGGTCTGAGATTCCCCCAGATGGCCTGACTCTGGCCGCTTTAACTGGATTGTTCGCTGGGCGACCAAAGTCATCTGACCGAGACTGCTCCACCAATGGTGGCAAAACGTAATAGAAACCTCCTTTGGAACCAATGGGCATTTCCATTACCCCCAGGAAATGCGAAAATCTCATTTCTTGATCACCGAATGTTGAGCTGTTCTTTACAAGAGCTCACGTTATTATCCCTTGTGAGCACACACCGCATTCTCACGTCAGGTTTACATGTCAGGTGTTATATGAGGCATTAAGGATACGGGGCTGAAGAAAATATACTCATACCGTTGAATACTCACGATGTTACAGAAAACCAAGAGAAATGGTATTTTACTGCTCCAACAATTGCATCATTTGCCGGCCCGTGTCCACTTTCTATTTCCAGAGAGCACCACGTTGTGCGACACAATTTTCACCTTTCGGCATAGGTTCTCCTGGGAAACACCCCGTGGATGTCAAAGTGATACCTATGTTAGACCTGTGTAGCTATCATGCAACTCTATAGTTATACTACATACTGTGAGTATACCGGGCCGATCAATATCAGATCATAAAATACGGCTATACACCGAAGCGCTGATCGTTATGTACAATGACTCCATCGCACCGAAATTTGCGGGATAATTCTTCCTTAGCGCCCCCTGTAGATCAAGTCTAGGGCATCGGCTAGTATAACATAGTTTGCAGTAAATATGTAATTCACTCACCGTATGGAGTAATTGGCAATGCCCAGAATGCCGAGAATGGGTATCCAAGGTTGGACATTAATATTCAGTAACCCCCTTGAGCTTGGCTCTCAGAACCGAGGAGACCGGGTATAGGGCAAAAGGCCGTTTCCCCAGACGTGAATGACGTTGAAAAAAAAAAAAAAAAAGGAAAATGAAAATTTGCAGGTCTCATGTGCTCTGAGTGGCCAAGACATCCGAGCGGCGAATAGTCACAAATCATCGGTTGTCTTCGGTGTCTGTGCGTTTCCAATTTCCCCAGATTTTCTCTTCCCCAACTTTTTGGGACCTGAGCCTGACCTTTTCCCACCTTTCCTATGTTGGAACAGCTGGCTGATACCTCGTTTAATAAGGAATTCCCGTTATAACCTCACGTGTCGAAATACGTGTTCATCTAGATATATTGCATACTATCCTCTCGCAATTGGATCCACCTGACTTGAAAGACTAACATTATATCTCCATATTAAACACATCAACTTGCGGGATTAAATCAACCGAGGGGTAGCATTTTTCCAATATCCCCCGCGCCCCGTTAGATAATAGCGCAACTCCATGACACATGATTTTCATCTCCAAGGTCGAGACCCGGGGACCGGGAGAGCCGGGGCTGCAGGTCATAGAATGTATCACAGTTCGTTGGATTCTACCGTACAGTTCCAGCGCCTGCTTTCCAGCTTCGTCCTCGGGTATGTAAGTTCGGATGTCAGCACCGGGATTCGCACCCGGAAGCACTCCCCAGGCCCTTACTATTATTATGGAGTAATTACATCTTGCCAGACCTGACCTGCTCGATGTGACCCGGTTCCCGGAACTGTATCCCGCAGGGTCAGCTAGGTATTGAGGTTGGAAAATGAGATTGAGGACCTTGGTCAGGTGTCTTGTTAACCTTGGAATACCTGGTGGTTTGATGTCGACCTTGTAGGTCTGAAACACGGAACACGCAGAAAAACAAGACTTCTGAAGCTTGATAGTCTCTAAAATGCTTGTTTGGGATTCGTGAAACATTGGATTATTAACTCGGTCACACTACATATCTTTGGGAAACACATGACCAGCGAAAAGCCAAGTACCAATCCCAGCCTTGTTGAGCCTCAACCTTCGCAACCAAGCCGATCACCCTTCCCAGCTAAAACACACGGGATGTCAAATCGACGATAAATCCCATTCTTTGGTCCAGAACCCCCATTCCAAGCCAAAGCCCTCACCACACGATCTTTGAACAGATATGCCTCGTCCTCACAAAGTCGACTGTGAAATGGACCACCCGCCTTGACAGCAAAAACAGTGCTTACCAGCTGCACCACCCGGGAGACATAGCTCGAATTGAGCTTCTTCGACCCATTCAAATCAAATGTGATCTCCTGAACCTTGTGTCCCCTCGGAACAGCCCGACAAGCAGCCCTCCAATCCGTAATGAGCGTAATGAACTCCTGTCCCTCGGGATATGTGACGTGATCGATGGAAACGAATTCAAGACTTGGGTAGGGGAATGGCATGGCTGTGTAGAATTTGCCTACCTCGGATGGCTGATTGAGTGACTGACGTGTCCATGAGTTTGTCAGTCCGAAGCTCACACTCGGGAATGGAGTGTCTATGAATCGATGCATGGGGACGAGGCGGAGATGAGTTGCTGTTGGGGTGGGTTTGGAATTGAAGTATTCTTCGAGAGCTTTGGGGTCTTCAAAGACGAAGGTTCGGGTGGAGAGGTGGTCTGGGAGTTTGTTGAGTCGCATGGAGATGCGTGGGGTTTTTGGTGTTGGGTTGATTGGGCTTGCCACGAGGTCGCCGTCGTTGAGAAAGATCAGGATCTCGGTTCCGGTCATGAGGATCTTGACGCCCGCTGTGAGCTTGTCGATTTCTGCTGTGGGTGTGGCGGTCGCCATGTCGACTTGTGTAGATTGAGTCGCATGGGATAGATGAGGAAGGTAGGTTGGGCGATAGGTGTAAACGTTTGTCACGATAGATCTGTTGTAGGTGCACTTTCTTAAGATTCATCTGATCTAGGGAGCCTCATTAAAGATATACTTAAAATGAGAAATGCATAGTGATTATGGGCGTTGCCTATCAGAAAGAAGTGCACGCAATCACTACATGAACATTGAGAAGTGATCTATCTCGGCTATCAGATGCTATGACTTTCTAATATTCTTAATCCAATATCCCAATCTCAGGAATTTCCGAGTTCAGCATCCGACACCCAATGGAAACCTCCGGCACATCGATATCCACCGCTTTGTTTAATCCATTGAAAACCAGCAACACAGAGTCCCATGCTCCGCAGCTTGGTCTGATTAGCCTGTTCCTTACGACGTGCTTCAGCTAAAGCTTTTTGTTGTTTGCGGAGTGTTTCGAAAATTGCTTCCTGTCTCCTGCGCTCCAATTCATGCTGCAGTCGGGCTTGTTCGTGTCGTCTTTTGGCATCTTCATCTGCTTTCTTTTTTGCCTCTTCGAGCTCCCGTGCTGCCTTTTCCTCCTCTGCTTTCAATTTCAATATCTCCTTCTTCTGTTCTTCCTCTTCCTCTTTCAAGCGCAGATACTCTTTCTCTTTGGCTTCTGCCAGAGCTTTGTCCTTTTCTAGTTGATACCACACTTCGTCTGTGACGCCGGCATCTCGTTCCGTGGTGGAAGTGGAATTGGCTGGTTCGGGCTCCGTCGTGGCTGTCTCCTTGCTAGAGACCACGTTCTCGCTGACTGAGCCTTGATTGTCCAGTTTGGTAACAGGTTTGCTCAAAGGTTGAGTACGGATCGCCATGTCTGTTCGCTCTCTTGGTTTGATTGTAGTTGAGGCGGGGTTTTGCGAGTAGACTTCCCGGCTGGATCGCTCATTGAGCATTGAGTCGAGGGCTTCAAGCACCGAATCTTTGCTCAGCGTCAGCCTCTTTCCACTGGATGACTGAAGCGTTTTGCCAAAAATTGTCTTCGTGAGCGTTCCAACGTCTCGTGCGTTTGCCCAACCAGAAGTTTCTGAAAGTCTATCAAGGCGCTCCGACATCCCCTTCATAAACTCAAAGTCTGGACTCTCCAAGCAGACCAAGTCGAATTGAGCTTGTGATTTGCTCAAGAGATCTCGTTTTTCTTTCAACAAGAGCTCGCACATTAACTTAACACAATCTGCCGAGGACAGTGGGTCGAATTGAAGAGACTCTGGGAAACGACTAGTGAGCCCCGAATTTACTGACATGAGACGGTTGATGTCCGCATCATAACCGGCTAGAATGATGATCAGCTTTTGGGCAAACCTGGGTTTGGTAATGCCATCCACGATCTCGTCCATGGCCTCTTTGGCGAAATGTCCCTCGGCGAGCCGATAGGCTTCGTCAATGAACAATACCTTTCCAAGGCAACGTTCTAAGACTTGTTGGGTTTTCGGGCCTGTCTGGCCGATGTATTGACCCACTAGGTCCGTTGCTGAGGTTTCCACTACTTCACTCGAAGCTAGCAAGCCCATGTCGTAGTAGACCTGACCCATCTTTCTGGCCGTGCTTGTCTTTCCAGTGCCTAGGGGGAATTTATATGTCAGCAATGTTTCGACGGGAAAAAAGACCGTGAACAGAGGTTTACATACCTGGAGGACCGCGGAAAACAAAGTTAAATGGCAATTGTGTGCGAGGATCCAAGTCCAGTCGTCTGAGGCTCTGAACCAATTTCCGATAGCCTTCCAGTTTGGCAACGATATCTTCACATCCTATGACGCCTTCAAACATCTTCGCAACACTCTCATTTTTATCTGCGCGATCAAAGTCTTCATCGAAGTCAGGAGCATCAAGAATAGAATCTGGAACAGAGCCAGGGCGCTTGATGGAAGACAAGCGCTTTTGATACCGCATCTTGGCGGTGTTGAGGAGGTTATCAATCTCGCCTGCATTGCCAAAATGTGGTCGATTCCGAGAACGCTCGAGCATCTCCAATACCACGCAGCGGCCACGATCAGTTATGCCGAATCCTTGCTCTTTGAGCTTCAGATTCAGAATCGCATCCAGTTCACTCGAAGTGAAGTCTTCGAAGACAAATGCCTGGTCAATTGGGAAGCGCCGGCTGAGGCCAGGGTTGACTTTCTGAAACATCTCTTCCATAAGGTCCTTGTAACCCAGAAGCAAGACACACCTATCGTCACCAGGTGTGCTTTGTACTTCTGCCACAATGGTGTCTATCACGGCAGTTCTGTATTGGTCACTCCTGGGACCTGCTCCATCCGAGGTGCCTCCAGCGAACAATCCGTAGGCCTCGTCGATGACTAGAACCTTTCCCAAAGTAGATGCGAGTATCCCCTTGGTATTCTTTTCGGACTCTCCAATCACGCTGCCTACAAAGTCTGACGGGTTCTTTACCACCACTGTGGTCGTTAGTAAATTCTACAGCCAGGAGAGAGCCCCGCATACCTTCGCCATTAGACAAGAACCCGATATCCACAAGTATCTGACCGTAGATCTTTGCGATTGATGTTTTCCCCGTTCCGGGATTTCCCAAGAAAACTTTGTTGAGACTGTACTCAACCAGGGGCTTCTCATCTAGCTCACGGTGGTAGTTGTATCGCATGGTGTCTAAAATGGCCTCCACGGTCTTCTTCACAGAGTCCAAACCAATCATGGTCTGCAGCTTTTGCCACGCATTGGATGTTTTCAAAGCCTGTGATGGATCTGGCCCGATCATGTCTTCCTTGCTCAGAAAGAAATCATTAACATTGCTGCCACCCTGTCGTCTTTCCAGGCTGAGCCGTGCAGCTTGACGCTCAGAGATCTTGGACATGGCATTCTCAACAGCTCTTGCATTAGCAAAGCCCTCACGACCACGCTCTCTCCCAATTCGACGAGCTACAATGCGACAGTAAAGTCCTCCGAGGTTATCCTCGACTTTCATTTGCTTTCTGTATGTCTTTTCGATGCACCCCACCAAAATCTGCATCAGCTCAGTGTCATCAAAATCTTCAAACTTAAGCTCATGAGGGAAACGACTCGGAAGTCCTTGATTGTGCGCGAAGAAGTTCTCCATCGGTCGTTGATATCCTGCAAGAATGAAGACCACTTTTCCAGTGAGCTTTTCAACCTCAGCCAAGAGGAAATCCAGAACCTGGGTACCGCCTAAACTGCTGCCGACGAGTTGATACGCTTCATCGATAAATATAGCACCGCCGCCATCTTTCAGCAAGGTTTCAATTATTTTTTGACATCCGGAAATACCATCATTCGCGAGCCTGGACCCCGTTGTCTCGATGAATTTGTCGCCGGGAATTATCCCCATGGACGATAGGAACTTTGCATAGAGACGGGCAACGGTTGTCTTTCCGGTACCAGGATTCCCAAGCAATACAGATCCGAATCGATCGCGGCTCAAATCGATGTTTTGTCTGATGGCGACATCGACTTTCGCTTTGGTAGACAAAAATTTTGTTTTCACTGATGTAAGTCCGATCATGTCGATTAACTTGTCAATTTCCTGGCTTTGGGCGTTGAAGAACTGCTTTTGATACTCCCAGTCTCTTTTGGCGGCCGATATCTTCTGCGCCGGCATTACCTGTCGGCTTGTCGACTCAACACTAGGACTTTGAGTGATTGTACCGCTCGAATCCGTGCTTGCTTTTGTGGTGGTTGAGGGTGTGCTCGCAATTGTCCCAGAGCTCAACCTCCGTCGAGGAGCTGCCGGTCGAGGAGGATTCTTCAAATCTTCAATTTCCTGACGGTATTGTTCAAGAACCCTTGCACGTTCCGCATCATCGAATTTATCACGTCTCTCACGCTTGAGGTGCGCAGCCTCCTCCTGAGCCTCTGCAAGCTGCCGTGCGTACTCATTCTGCTTTCTTTGCCGTTCAGTCTCCAACTCGAGATCACGTTTGCGCTTGCGCTCTTTGACCTGGTCTTCTAAAATGCAGAAACGACACGAACGCTTAGTCTGGGAACATGACAGAGATAGACAATGACCTCGGGGACACTTCCATTCCACGATCTTTGTGCACTTCATTTTTGAATGGTCCGCAATCTGGTGGCATTTTGAAGGGCACTCGTGTACTCCGCAACTCAGTTTCACGCCGCTATTGGGAACGAGTCAGCATGAAGGCATCACCAAACTTTCTCGTGAACTGACCAGGGTGCAGAGCATCCCCCATCCGGGCATTCTCTATTGAAGTCCTCCACTGTTCGGAGGATGGCATTTGTCTGGGGATGTTGCTCGCATTGAACGGGCAGTCCATCGTATAGATGCCCCTCTGACTTCAGTTGGTCAATGAATGGCTTCCAGTGCCTTTGGCCTTTTCGACTAGAGACAAATGTTTCCGAGTTTCCCACCAGAATGAGGACATTTCGGGCCCGGGAAAGAAGGACGTTGAGGCGCTCGGGGGCTGCCATGAACCCTATGTCTCCAGTTTTGTTGCTGCGAGTGAGTGAAGCTATAACAATTTCACTCTCTTCTCCTTGGAAATTGTCTATCTCTCAGGTTAGACTCTTCCTTCCGCCTATTTCTTTCTCTCTACTTACCAACTGTAGATAGCTTGATGGGACGCTTAGAGTGAGAAGCACCAGCCTGCGATAGGAGCCCTGCTTTGACAAGGTCGTAAGAGTCGAGGTCGTTTAGAACTGGATCGTTCTGTTTGCTTAGAGTCTGCCTTAGTAGACTCAGCTGGCCCAAATACGGAGTCAACACGACCAGTTTGTCTGTTCCATACCCCTGCTGTCCGAGATACTTCACAATCTTGAGAACAATCTCTGCCTCAAACGCATTCCTCTTACTTCCCTTCGAGTTCTCATCACGTAGGTCAGATACTTCCACAAAAATATCTTCGGGATTTTGATGATGGAAAAATATCACTCTGTCGCACAGCCCTCGTGGTTGAGGGCGGTTCTTAGTCTTTCGGTCGTCTTCCAGCCCAGGGTAGGTGAGATTGCGTACAAGACTTGAGATCTCGGGACACATCCTATGCTGCTTCATCAGTGTCGTATGTGGATACCCAGCATGAATGAGTCTTTCGAAAAGGGAGACGTTCAGGTCATAGCCATCCCCTTTCTCTGTACTCAAGCTGTAGCTATTGATCTTTGGTCGTAGCTGCTGATGATCTCCTATCAAGATCAAATGCTTGGTATCCGGTGTCATTGCGGTGAGCACATGGGACTCAAGGATCTCGCCCGCTTCTTCGAGAAGCACGATGCCAGGCGAAGCATGTCGAATGTTCTCAGAATACATTGCTGCTGCTGTAGTGGTGCAGCCGATGATTCGCTTTGACTTTAAAATTTCGCGATTTTTCTCCCCTAGGGTTGCGCTCAATTGGCTTTGGCATTTGTCAAACAATGTTATGTTGATGCTCAAAGACTCCGCCTGTTCACTGATCAGAGCTCTCTTCCAAGAAATCGCTTTCTCCTCCCGTATTTTCTGGTCCAACGCCCAGATGTCGCGACAATGAGCAGGTAGAAGATCAGAACACACTCCTGGGCTTTCATTTCTGACCCATCGTTCATAGAGGTAGTCTCTTTTGATTGTCTTTCCACGCTTGGTGACCATAGTCATGCCGTTTTTGTCCTCTGGTACGGTCAGAGCTGCAAAGTACTCTGGTTCTTCAAACTCCAAATAGTCCAAGATGGATGCAGCATTAGCTGCGAGGTTCTTGTAATTTTGGAAAGAGCTATTCAAGGTGTCTTTCTGCTCATTTCCATCCGCTTCAAGGGCATGGATGGTGTTCCAAGTGGTGGGGTCCCTCCTGTAGGATGAATGCTGCTTAAACAATCCAAGCGGCTCGGTGCGTGTTGTTGACTTGGACCCCAGTCTTACAATGGCAGAGGGATCAATACCAATGTCTAACAGGTCTTCCAGAAACTGGTCCAAGGCATGATTCGTGTAGCACATAACCAGGATTTTGTCTTGAGTATTATCATGCAGGGCTTTTGCGAGAAGGGCACCGATGAATGACTTGCCAGTACCTAGAGCCCATACTGTCAGTTCAAAATCCTTGGTAATAGAATCGAGAGAATTCGCATGATCATACCTGGCGGTCCTTGAATAAGACTCACTCTCTGTGTCAATCCGGCCAACAGAGAATCCAGCTGTGAAGCGTCCAGTGTCACTGGCATTGAAGTTTGAAGGGTGCTCTGGATATTATGTCCATATTCTCCCTTCAACTTGTTGACCACATTCCAAGGAGCTAGACTTGAATCCTTCACAGGTTGGTCTCTTTCGTAAAGGAACAGCTCCTCTGTGAGAGGTAGCTCTATTCTCTCCTGCAAACATTTCAAAATTGGCTCGTAGGCAAACATTGCTGTGTCAACAAGCAAGAACTCCACGTCATGGTAGAGTTTTAAATAAAGAAGAGACTTTTTGAGCGCCTCTTCGCCTGTGATACGTAGCATAACAACTGGGGGGTTGGAGACCAGTTCATCGATGTCTCTTTCGATTGTAGCAAAAGCGACAATTTCTGTGCCTCTGATCAAGCAACCAAAGGCACGATGCTTGACAAACTGAGGCGTGCTCTTCAAGAAAGCTTTGCGAGCATCTGCTGAGAGATTCTTGAGTCTTTCAAGGCCATACTTGGCAGTAACACCAATGGTACATGGTCGGAGATGGTTTGAGGTTCCAGAAGTGCAGCGGACGTGAGCGAGAGAGATATCCTTTAGGTGGAAAGCCGACCGTCGGCCCCTCTTCGTGCCTTTTGCAATTTGAAAGTCATCGCGAAGCTCCGAGAGCATATCCTCTCGTAAAAGACGAAACTGATTGTCAACGTGGCCCGCAATACGCTGGCCACTGGACAACTGCGCGATGTCTTCAGCACGGCGATAAAACGGTTTCTCCGTACATCCCATCTCATCGGCGGTAGGAAAGATTGCCGTTAAGCGGAAATCGGCAAAATCATTATCATGCCGGCCACCTGCAGTGATTTCGGAGTTCTGGGGGGCGGTTGCAGGTGATTTCATCTCCAGGCAATATCTGATCTTGTGGCCGAAGTTTCGTATGTCAACCGAAGGTGAAGAGAAAAGCGATCCATCATCCAAAACAGCTTGAGCATCAGCTCTAATATCCACCCCAGAAGAGGGAGGCACTGAAAGCAACTCAATCATCAACCAGCATAGAGCCTGGATCGCATGATCTTCCAGTTTCCGAGTACGGAACGCCTCCAAAAGTGCGCCCCAGAGGGTACGAGGCTCCAAAATGATCAGAAGAAGTTGCTCAAGAAATTGGCCATTACAGAGGAGCTTGACCTCACGGTGGTTCAAGTATTGAATCAACTTTGCGGTGTACCCGTTGATGAAGACCGGGGTGAGGTTGAACCTCAATCCATTTCGCAAGGCATCTAGAGCGCTTTGGCTTGAGATAGTTCGCTGAACAACAATACTAGGATCAATCTGGTCCAGGATTGCTTCAATAAATCGCTTGAAATCGTTCAGATGCTGGACTTTTTGCTTTCCATTGACGACGGTTCCGAAATACTTCGCCAGTCGCTCCGATCGAACGTTTGTAGACATGATAGAAAATGATATTTGAACTGCAATAGATTTAGCATAGATCAAGGTAAAAGCCAGAGAAATTTTGAAATTGAAGGGGTGTAGAAAAATTCCTGAGTCAAGAGAGAGACGGTTTCAGCCTCATTGACAAAGTAAAGCACAGTCACACCAAATATGCACAACGCTGATCGTGCTGTCTGCCTTGTATCCTAATGGTTATCCGCAGTAAAGCCCAACCAACGCAACATTAGGCGCAGGAGTAGGCTAACATGGTAGATATGTGACGTGGCGACAGGGGTCTATCTGCAACATAAAGCGCGCGGCACAGGAATACATGTAGTCCTTTCAAGAGTCTTTCTGGTGGACTTTCCACATGTTTTAGTGGTAGTAAACGAAAATGCACTCAAGATCTTACCCAGGAGTCTCTCTAATTTTCCTTCTGCCTTTTTGCTACATTGCTTGTCAACCTTTGTTAGTGCTGCTTTCTGACCACACGAGTCTACACTATGTTTTCACGGGGGAGAGGAAGAGGACGATGGAGAGGACGAGATGGACGCAGGCCCCAGATCAGTTCATCAGCACCTCCGCTAGGAGATATTATCGTCACAATCCACCACAATGAAATCGACACTTCCGCAGATCAATATAATACCAATTCTCGAATCACGAACAGTCAATATCTGACATCTTACAACTGGCTTGGTTGGGAAGAGAAGAAGATAATCATTCCAGGTAAGAGATGCTTCATGAGAAGAAGACACTGTCCATATATGTTGATGTTGACTAACATGTGTCTACCAGGTGAACCACCAAAGTGGACACCTCTGTCCGGATCCAATCCTCCCATGCTTCCACAAGACAAGGGTGGATATTATCGCGATCGAAATGCTGCGCATTATCCCACTTACCCTCTGGAGCCAATGGTACAAGCAATACTGACGGACAAGCCTGAGTTCCCCATGGCTAGTGTGGACATCATTGCATGCAACAGTACAATGGGCAGTCTACTACGCTTTGCACTTGGGCATGATAAGCCCTTCAGGATACTTGTTGAAGTACTTGGCAATACGGTTTTCTTTATCAGAAGGGAAAACTCACCCACCGAAATTATTCCCGATATCCATGGGTATGGGCATACTTTCCCGGAAGCATACACTATGTGGAGTGCAAGCGTGGGCGGATCCGAGTCCCACCAACGTGTGATGAAGTATGAGTTTGCTGGTATGCAGTGCTTGATACGTTTTGAGGCAGATGGGTTTTTGCCTGGCCTGGTTCTCGATACCGAGGAAACTAAGCAAGATCCTGTTTCCCCGAAGGATAACATCGTCTTAGGGGAAGCTTTGTCCATGGAAGAACTAAGAATTACACATGCTCCCTCGATGACTACAAAAACCGCACCGAAGCAGCTTGAGATCGCAAGGCAAGGCCGACGTATCCCACAGTGTGCAATCTTTGACCTGAAGACTCGATCTCACCACAAAAAGAGTCACAATACTCTCGAGGAAGAATTGCCCCGGTTGTGGATTTCGCAGACTCCCAACTTCGTTCTCGCCCACCACACAGCTGGTCGGTTCAAGGATATCCAGGTTCAGGACGTGCGAGATAATGTAAAGCAGTGGGAGGAGATCCAGCAACCAGCTTTAACCAAATTTGCCAGCTTACTCCAAATGATCGTGGCATTCGCTCGGAGCGCAGATGATGGAAAACTTGAGATTGATCGTGAAGAGGGCGAGCAGGTGTTGAATCTGAGAAGGCAAGGTGGAGTTGTCAAAGGCGTCTTGTCCCCGGCTGTCTCAAGCAAGTGGGATATGTAAATCGGCTCATGAGAACAGTGGTTCAAGCTCCTATTCATACGAGACAAGTTCAATGCTATTCACTTTCCCATCCCAGGTTATATGGAGAGAAAGCCCTCTGTACGGTTTATGCTTTTCACTGCTTTTTGTACATTGTCGTAGACTGATAATCCCCGTTTGTCTACTCCGTACTATTATTATTGTCATTATACTATCATCCCCAGCGTACCTCTATCATTCATTCAACTATAATAAAAAATATATATGAAAGAAAGACATCTAAAAAGATACTAAAGTCTTCTCTTCATACAACATCCCAATGTAACCTATCATCTTGATCCAGATAAGTCAATTGTTGAAGTCTTACGTCGTCGAAGATAGAGGCCGCAAACGTGGGCAGCCAACTACTCTTGCATGGAGTAATGAGTGGATGGATATCGTATGCTTTTGGGTGAAATAAGTGCCTGCCTCGATTTCTGGCGTTAGTGTGGAATTGGCGGCACAAATTATACAAGCAAGCTAGAATCACTATTTCAACCACAAGAATTCATCCTCTTGGCAAGAGAGGCGCTGTCTTTGTTATAGAGCGCCGATGCGATAAGACACTATTCTGCCACCACCGACCGCCCGTTCAACTCTCGCCATCGAGCTCCGAAACGACTTGCCGGTCTTGCTACTTCAATTTCTCTCTTATCTGCGTCACCAAGGCTTCACTTCCGAGCTTCAGCCGAAACCACGAAATTGCAAATCAGAAAAATCATTGCTAGCCAAGATCCCCGCCTCCTGAACGAAACCAATCCCGGAAGGGAATTTTCCTCTTTCGCGCGACGACAGCAAGGTACTTGCTGCAGAAACCGGCAAGATGCCCAAATATAAGTTTCCCTGGCCTATATCTTTGAAACTAAAAGCTAACACTCCGTGCACTCTTTTGTAGGTTTTGCCCCAAATCCAGGTCTAGCCAGATCAAGCCGTGTCATAGCCTATCCCGGGGCACAATGCGACACGATGCTATGTCCTTTGAAATCGACTTCGGCCTCTTGAGCCCATATCAGTCGACAGATTGCTAGATTGCTAACCCCTCACTTCAACCTATAGGCGACTACTGTGATGTCTACCTGACGCACGACTCGATGAGCGTGCGCAAGGCGCATAACTCCGGCCGAAACCACCTGAGAAACGTGGTGGACTACTACCAACGTACGTCTAACCGATGGCGCAGCAAGCCACGCCAAACCCAATGGCTAAATGATAACTAACCACATGAACCTGTTACAGAGATTGGCCAAGAAAAGGCGCAGTCCGTCATCGACTCCATCACCTCCTCCTACGCCGCAGAGGGCCAACAAGCCCCCAACATGATGCCCCCCGGCGCTTTCCCGCCCCCCTTCGGATTCCCGGGTACGACTCTCCACCCATACCCCCCCAAGGCCAGCTCAAACCCAAAGCTAACACGTCCAGGACACCCAGGCATGCCAGGCATGCCCCCTCCCCCATTCGGCATCCCTCCACCAGGCGCCCCCGGCGCCCCAGGCATGCTACCTCGTATGTCCTACCCAATCCCAATTCCACCTCACCACAAGGACAATACCAAGCTAACACATATCCGTTCCACCCAGCCCCAGGAGCCCACGGCCTTCCCTTCCCACCGCCATTCCCTAACGCCGGAACCCCACCAACAGGCGGCTTCCCCCCTCCCCTCCCCAACATGCCCCAGGGCGCAAACCTGCCGATCCCGCCCCCAGGTGGCTTCCCTAACTTCCCTATCCCCCCGCCAGGCGCTGCGGGCTTCCCGCCTATGCCTATGCATGGTCAGCCCGGCGCAGGTCAGCCCGGCACGAGTCAGCCTGGTATGGGACCTGGTGGTCCGTCGCCCATTCCTACTGGCCCCCGTGGCTTGGAAGGGTACCCTCCTCCCCCCGGAGGTGGGAATTCTGGTAGGATGGATCAACAGTGGTGATCATGATGACGATCTTGGGGTTCGTAAATGGTTTGTTTCTGATACCTTTATTTTTTTTTCTGTGGGGATGTGTGGTGCCGTCGGCGTGACATCTCTCATGGTTCTTTTTGCTCTTTACTGTTAGTGTAAAATAGCGGTTTCTTTTTTTTATGCCTGTCTTTTCGTACGTTATGTTTCGTACAAGATGGTCTCTTATAGTTCTGGTCTCGACAGCTATGGCTGTTGTCAGTTCACGAAATTGAATTCTTTACGAGAGACTCAAGGCCCTAGGAGTTGGAGACGTATACCGTAGACCAAGGGAGCAAAAGAAAACATCAACATCCGCGTCAATAGGTGTAGATATTGCATTAATATTTATACTAGGACAAGAATAGTTGGCCGCTTATGCGTCCTTGTGATGTCTTTTAAGTGGTCTTCTGATATACTCTGTTTAGATGTCCGAAGATATCTTCTCAGTTTTAATAGGTAGGTAGACGGTAGAAAGAACGTGGGAAGAGGGTTTGTGAAAACGACTTTTCCATGCATAACCTGGGGCTATCGGTTTGAATACTGGTATATAGGTGAATGCTTGAAACCCGGAGAAATTGGAAATATATTGTATCAGCAGCAGGTATACTGCAAAGTCAACGGAAGAAAAGCGAAACCCAAGGCCGATCACCATATCCAGAATGCATCAAAGAACGCCGAGCAGAAATAAAAACAAGGGAAATACACGTCGAAGGATTTAGACCAGGGAGGGAAAAAGAGAAAAGACGAAGCGAGAAGTAAAAAGGAAGAGATAGATGACAAAAAAGGTCACACCATTGGGAAACGGAGTGAATTAAGAAAAGAAGTTTATCTGAAGCCGACGAGGATGCTGCAGACTGCAGAAGCAAAAAAAAATAAAAGAACCCCGAACCCAGAGGAATGGCGATTGGCAAAATCATAGACCATTCGGTATCCCGCGCTAAAACAAAATCACATATCTTCATCTCAGAAGCAACAAAATCAGAGTCCACCGGCCTTTTTTAATGGTCATAGCCAGCGCCCCGTTGCCACGGACTGGTACTGTTCTGGGTTCGATAGGTTGCCGCTGACAAAGCAGATTGGCCAACAGGAGCGTTGTTATCATAGCTCCTTCCGGCAGGTGAAGGGGACCGACCGAATTGGTCGTATCCGGGGGAAACATTGTGATGACCTGGCGTATTACTGGGGAACAGTGGCACAGATGGGTCAACGGGGGACCGAGGCGCTTGGGTGGCAGAGTGCGGTGGGTAGGTTGATTCCATTTGGCGGCCGACGGTAGCGCCATTTCCACTGGAGATAGAAGCGGTATCATCGTCGAATGGGTTATTGTTGTTATTATATTGCCCAGGCTTCATATCACCGCGTGCTGTAGCACCCAGGGCATCCAATTCAGTGGTCAGCTGGGTTTGGGACTTGATGAACGAGCCACGATCGTCGCGCATAGGCTGGTAACGAGTATCGGGGTTCTTGGACACCACGGCGTAGACCGAGGCGATCAGAACCAGAATCAAAAGGACAAAAGCAAAGATACAATTGTAAACGAAGAAGATGACACCCATGACACCGATCATCAATCCAGGGGGGTCGAACACGTCTGAGAAAACGAGCACGAAGATAGAGTTGAGGAAATTGATCACAGCAATAGAGATGTTGAAGATGTTAGTCTTCTTATCCATCCAAGGACGGAGAATGCAGACTCCGACCAGCATAGCTAGCTCAAGGATCACCAAGGAGACCGCCTGGACGATCGGTGCAGGCTGGCTCAGACCGATGAACATGCCCTTGATCAGGGTGTAGACAAGGAATGGAACGACGAAGTAGTATGATGTTGCTCGGTACTGCACATACAAGAATCCCCACTTGTTTAGACACGAAGGATCAGAGTAAAGGATGTATGCGGGGTTCTTGTGCATGATGACTGAACGCTTTGCCAACCGAATGACCTTCTGAGAGGCCCATCCAAGCGAGACGAGCATAGAAAGGAGCATAACCGCTGCCAAAACGACCTCGGCCGCCGAGTCACGCTGGGTGAACTCCCAAAGGCAAAGAACAGACATTTGGGGGAAACCAATAAGAGTCAGTCGGAACAAGATACCACGCAGAACGATCTTCCAACCATTGCGGAAGTCCTGGAACCGGTCGCTCTTCATTTTGCCATGTTTGACAAGTAGCTCAGTAATACCCTTAAAGGCTGCAACGATGATGACGACAATGCAGGTGAAGACTGCAAAGAAAATCAGGCCAGTAAGGAAAATGTTGGTCTCCTCCATATTCGCACGGAATCCAACACGGTCAATTCCTCGAATGACAAGAAGTTTCTGGCCGTTCTCGGATCTCTTGACCATACCAGTTGCCCGTTTAATTATCATTGGTTTTGTGGCTCTTTTCAAGAGGTCCATTGCTGGGTCAGCGAAGTCACGCTTGCGGCGCTTGAGGACTTCCACAGAAGTATCACCAAGCTGTGACAGAATTGTCGAGGGAGTTCCACCGGTTGCCCGCTGATACCAGGTAGCAATCTTCTGGATGAATCCCACGCGGATGATACCCATGCTCCATTGGAAGTTCTGGGTCCAAGCTTCCACGATTGGGGGCATATGAACGGAAGTCATGCCAATAATTGCTTGCGACTGCATGAAACCGAAAAGAGAGAGCGCATTCGCTGCGACGTGAGCCGCAGTATTGGAATGACCTAGTCCGGAGGTAATGGCGGATGCAGCGAGGCCTAGGCCGGAGATGACGGCGGTTGTCCACGAGACTCCAGCTTGATTAACGGTCTTGCCGTTGGAAAGCGAGGCCTCAACACAAGCAATCTTTTCAAGAGTATCGGCTGTCTTGATGACAATCCGCACATTTGCGTCAAGATCAGGCACAGTATAGGCAATACCAGGAACGTTACTCGAAGTGTCCGCTGGCAAATCGAGGGAAAGCGGTCCCAAATCCATGGGTCCAGCGGCCATGGGGCACATGCCGAAGCCCTCAATCTTACAAGGATTAAGCGTTTTCTTGTATGCCTCGAATCCATACGCGGTAAGTGTCATCTCCGCAACAACCTTACCCTCGATGTATGAGACGCCATCGAAGCCGACCACAAGAGAGTTGTTTGCCGGGTAGAAGGTGACACTGAAATATGTTGCTGTGAAGTTGCTACTTTCCATGCAAACGCTGAGTGCATTGGATTCAAGGAGCTGAACGGCGGCGGCTAGCGGCGCCAGAAAGGCAACGAAGCATGTGAGAAGCGATATTAACCGCATGTTGGTGTATATTCGATGTCGAGAAGAGAGTTTGCGAAGCACTAGGTTTTCCCAGAGGTAGATCAGGGCGGGGGGAGAGATCTGACGGCTATCGTGTTAGTGGCACTCCAGAATACCACGTTACCAGCCGCCGGATGCGGAAATTGCTGTGAAACCGGCTGTTTTTTGGTCGCGGTGGGGCTGAATTATTTCCTAATGTCTCCTCGGACAGTTGCTGTGTGTGTTTGGCGCAAATTGTCGGAGGAAAGTCAGGGTTTGAGTCAAGGTGTGTGCCTTTTCACCGGGACATTGAATATAAGCGGAGCGTAAAAGTAGTCGTAAGGGTAGGGAATTGGAAGCTGAATTTGCTGGATTTGTAGATAAAACGAGAGTATTCCAGAGTCTGAATGAGAGTAAGGATTCGAAGCGAAATGTCGAGAGTGAGTGGACTGGCGATACGCAGTATGGCCGAAAAAGGAGTAAAGGAGTAATGTGCTTGGGAAGGAGAAAGTGGTTCGATGTGGACCAGAAGCCTAGAATCAGAAGAAGGAAAAGAGAGACAATGAGAGAATGAGGGTGAAAAGAAGTCGTCTCAGGGACCAGGGACGAGTCGACAAGGGTCCGTGGGAGAGAGACAGGACAATGACCATCGCTATTCATGTTGCTGGCAAGGTATGTGGTCATGTATTGTTAAAGGACAGGGGCGGCTAAGTCGGGGCCAATCAGAACTTTGTATTTTGTTGTATTGATGTTTGACTTTGTTCCGTATAACTACCCACACCTTTCCCCCCTTCAACATACAGAATGTCATCTCCAGGGTTATATCATATGTTTCATTTCCAAGGCTTTCTTCCTTTTATTCATGTTATTCGCTCTATTCGCTCTCATCCTCTATTACACTATTTGCTTTGTTCTCTTGAAAAAAAAAAAAAAAAACTTCTCTTTTTTTTTTCGCGTACGCCTCCCCTGCCGAAAGCGGTTGATCGTGGCGGAATCAGGCGGGTCCTTAGCCCTGGTTATTATTATTAGCTGAGACAAAATTCGGATATGCCAATATTAAGTACACTGAACCAAAGGAACTGTTGCCCCCGGCTGTGGAGTGTGCCGCATACAGTGGACCGTTACGGACAACAAAAGCATTCTTTGAACGTAAAGGCTCACATTGTGTCAGTATTTCGTCTGCCTGATATTAACAATTAATTTAGTTTTCAGTTCTAGGTCCACCCATATAAAGCGCTGCCTACTACGGATACTCCGTACTCCGAAGTTCTTCTGGTGGGGCCCCATCTTAGCTGCCGCTTTTATGAGGGCGCTTCTGAATCAGGGGGTAAATTTCAGTCCGCACTCAGTTCTTGGTACCACGTGACCAAGAACATCGATCTATTGACTGTCCAACTACAATGTATATGGACATTTCATTTTAGATATCAGCAGACGTGGCTCACTCCAAGGATAAAATTTTTGATGCCAAAGAAAAGGTTCAACAGGATGAAGCGTACAAAATCAGATTTTGATTGAATGATCGAACACGGTCTTTCATACATCGGCTAATTCATCATTTTTGTCCATTTTGTCCATTTTAACAACCTGCTCTGCGGTCTCTCCGCGAAAGCAATACTGCCCCAGCTTCATTGCAATGCGTCGATATTGCACGCCTGTTCTTGGGTGCATTGAGATATCGTTCCATCTTCCCGTCCCGCCTCACTACCCATTCATTCAGAAAGTTACGGAACGTCGATACGTCACAGTCTGGTTCCCTATTAA